TTTTGGTCAAGACTTTTAGTTTGGCTGTTGCTCCCCCTTTGGCGCAGGCGTCAGCGCGACGTAATGGTCCTCAGCGGTCTCCATCCTACGGTTCTGTATCTCCTGCTACGCTAGGTTCGTTCCTCTTTATGCAATTGAAAAGATTGAAGTTCATGGTCATGGCATGCCAGCGACAAAGACTTTTCAGTGATTATTTTTCATCAAGTCCTAAAGTAAGCTTTCAGCAAACTATAACAAAACAGCAAGAAGTGCCTATTTTTACCGCTGAACTCAAACAAATATGTCGTCATCATCGAAACACTTGAAGAATATATAACTATGCGGAGAAATTGCTACTCATGAAGTCAATCCGACACAGTTGTAAATTTAACCAACAATTTTATTGACAACACAAGGCAGTTAGGGCCTTTCATTGGACAAGTCTTCTTGTTTTTTTAGCACCAGTTGAGAATAGCTTCAAAATTTTTGTTCTTCTATGGTTCTTCGACCATTCAGACAACAAGTCCGTAAAATTCTTTTGTTTCACATTCAAGAAACAGTCCATGACAATGAAGTTGTGAAATGGGTACAATTCTTACAAACTGGAATGAGAATCATAGAGTTCAGAAAATCACAATTTGAGAAAGAAAATGTAAATTACTTGAATGAAGTTGAACAGCAAATCGAACACTGTTTTTGGCCAATCATTCAAGTTCACCTTTAATTTTAACAAAATATGGCGATTTGAGGGGGTTTTTGAAGGGAACTCACAACGATAGATTTTGAATAAGTCTGTGGTTCTCCATGACCGCACTCATCTACGAACCGTGGGGGCAGCTGGGTTTGCATTTCCGTGGGTATAATATTCACAAGAGGAAGTTCTGCTGGATAAGCTAATCAACTTGCTTCGGTTACCCTTTCCCTTGGTTTAAGGCGATAGAAAGGCAAAAACCCTTCTCTGATTTTGGTGGAGTTAGGTAGTAGACCCTCCAAGTACACCATCGTAGAGGTAGCCCAAACTCCAACTGCCAATTAATGCGCTAAGTCCCGAAAAATGCACTTCAAAAACTCCACCGATGACGCTCACTTAATGGAAGTGGGCGGGGCTGGTGGAGCGCATTTTGAAGCACATTTTCCAGGACTTAGCGCATGAATTGGCAGGTAGTGTTTGCTACGGTGTACTTGGGGGGTATACTACCTAACTCTGCCAAAACAAGAAAAGGTTCCATTTTGCCTGTCACTGACTTCCAGCCTACCCATTAAAGTGCGTAATACGGGTTCGTTGGTGAGTACGGCCACTGAAGCCGATTATCGCACGTTTCAACGTATTGCATATATCTGTTCATAGAACTGCTCTACTTGTACGTTTGCAGAAATGCGGAAAGCCCCTCGTGGCTATCCGCCTGTGTCGGGATCATCTTCGTCGATGTACTCGAATCCTGGGAAGGAGCCACCTCGCATGGTGAATGCTTCTTTTCGACTTCGAATTGGGTTGAGTAACCTTTTTCATTTTGAGAGATCGCCTCCTCCAGGACAACTGATTGATCCCAATGAATTTATAGAAGAATTAAGCGATAACGAGGATTGGGATAGCGTAAGTTGCTCGTGAGATTATCTTTCATGCATGCCTAACGAACTTTTCAGATGGCACAGTTGGTACAGACAATGCCACCAAAGCGAAAATCGGAGGTACCGCTCGATAGACCCCGTAAGTAGAGTTTAGTTATTTGCTAAATGTAAAGATTGCTCTTATCTAGAAAAAAGGCCCCTACTTGGAGTCCCACCACCACCGAGGCCTACTTCTGCCGATCCCTGGCAAGATCCAGCAGCAGTCAAAGCGAAACCTTTGTTTCCCAAAGCATATCCGAGTGTCAGTTATGTTCCACCCGTTGAGGTGCGCTTTCCTTGTAAAAATAAGCGTTTTTCTGATATTTGATTTCCAGAAGTCGTTCTTTCGTATGGAACTTCCAAGCGTTCCTCCAAGGATCTATTTCACTCACAAACAGTAAGGATATTGTAGCGGTTGCAAACTGTTTCATCTGTTTAACTTCAGAGGCGAGCTAGAACGTGAACCGGAGGCACCACCACGGGATGGGCCACCACAATCTCGCATAGCTCCAGCGGTAGCCCTAGATCAAGGTGCGAATTTTTAGTATAACAAATTTTCTGCATATTTGTGCACTTTTTTGTCTTTTTAGGTGATACCAGCTGGCGATATTCGCAAAGACCTCCTAGGGTTGGTGAATTTATCTATTTTTGAGTCAACTATTTTTTTCATATGTCTGCTATGTTTGTTTTTCAGCGCTTTTCGCCCGGACCCAGGCCTGGAGGCTACTTCTAGACGCGTATGCTTAGGCGTAATCCCAGATATCAGCAAAGAGGAAAGAGAACTCATTGTGTCCTCAGTTGCTTTCTTGCAGTTTACTCTTTTGAAGAAGCTCATTCGGGTCATTTTTATTGTATGAATTTTGAATTTGACCTGGGAAGGAAAAAAGGAACATTTTTTCTATTGTTCGTTCAAACATCGTCATCTCATATGTCCA